TATATATATATATATATTATATATATATATATATAATATATATATATTTATATATATATATAATATATAATTTATTATTATTTTTTATTTTAAGTACCAGTGCATTCCAATAGGCTCCATTTACTTATAGTTACATACAACCTGGGCTGATTGAAAGGCATTCCTCATGATGGCTTTCTCTCATATAAATTCATTTCGATTTCTTGCGAGGCCCCCTCAGACCGGAAGTGAGAGGCTGTTGAAATGTGCTCCTGTTTTATTGAGGGCTCTAGGAAAAGGCGCGTGGGTGGCTTAATCTCATTTCTCTTTCTAGCAATGAAATTCTATGATTCCTGATATGATTTTGTTTGCCTGACAGAGGTATTTAAATTTCTACAAAGAATCTTAATAGGTCCTGAGAATACAGCTTGCCCTCGCCAACAAGCTACTCGATCCGCTCTCCTGATATAAAATATGCGTCTTTAATACACAGTGCTAGAGGGCCAGGTGAATGAGAAGGCTGAAAATCTCCTCTGGGTGGAAGGGCTGGCTGAAGGGGATCAGGGACTCTTCAACACGGTGGAATCCAGCAAATCACTAGTGGCCCGTTTCTCTCCACTCAAGTGACAATAACATTGGATTGTGCTCCTTGCCCAGGGAGCTGATCTGCTTTGCCAAAATCATTTAGGAGATAAATACTGTCAGTTAGGAATACTGTATTTACCTCTGTTTGGCTAATTTTAGAGATGAAAAGCCTGCAGCTTTGTATAATGGGATCAAATGTCTGGGGAATGTGTGGGGACAGGCAGGCAACAGGAGGAACCGCCAACTCCTCCCTTGCCCAGGGATCCTTAGCTAGCGTGTTTTCCTGTAACCAGCATGCTTGTTTGGCTAATTTTCTGTTTGTTCTTTGCCCAGGAGGAGCTGGCATAGCCCGGCTTCCTCACCTTCAGCTGGGGTCTGTCTGGTAAGGATAGATTTGTTAGGATGTATCTTTGGTAGGTAGATTTGAGTGTGGGATTTGATTGCTCATGGCAGGCAGACATGTTGATAGATCCCACGGTGTGTGAT